TGACGTGCCTAGCATTTATCTTCAACAATCTTCAGCTCGTGGCCAACCTTGTTTCATTCTTAACCTCAGCAGTACTGACACGTTGGGCTGGAACATTTTGTGTGAGGGGCTGTCCTGTGTCTTTTAGAAGAGTTCACAGTATCCTTGGCCTCTACTCATTAGATGCCAGTAGCATCCCTCCCCCCTTTCTGGTGATAACAGCCAAAAATGTCCCCTGGGGGGTAAATCATCCCCAGTTGAGAAACACTGATTTATACTCACTCCGCTCTCTCCATCCCTTTAAGATTATTTGGAAGCAAATCTCATACATCACATCAAACCCCTTTCAGCTTGTATTTCTAAGAGATAATGCCTCCAATTTTGTTGGCCCTTGAAGAGGAAAGGAGTAGAGATCTAATTCTGTTCCTGTATGAATTGTTGTCATGGCAGCCAGCCATCACTCTTGGCCACAGGGATGGTCCTAGTTTCTGTCAGCTGCGAGTGTTGATATGAGCTCTCAAACATGAAGAAATTGGCATCAAGCTCCAGCCTGTAATTTTTATTTTTTGTTAATCCTCACCGGAGGATATTTTTTCCCACTGATTTGTAGACAGTGGAAGGGGGTGTTGGGGGAGAGAGAGAGATCAATCGGTTGCCCCTGGCATGTGCCCCCTCCAGGACTGGGAATCGAACCCGTGACCCTTAGGTGTGTGGGCCAATGCTCTAACCACCGTGCACACTGCCCCAGGCTCCAGCCTGTACAAATATACATAATGTAAAATTTTCCATTTTAACCTTTTTATAGCATACAGTTCAGTGGCATCAAGTACATTTTCATCGTTAAATGCCATCACCACCCTCCATCTCCAGAACTCTTCTCATCTTGCAAAAGTAAAACTCTGTACCCGTTAAATTATAATCCCATTCCTTCCGCTCTCCAGCCCCTGGCAACCACCATTCTACTTTCAGTCTCTATGAATTTGACTATGTAAGGCACCTCACATAAGTGGAATTATACACCATTTGTCCTTTTGTGACTGGCTTGTCTCACTCAGCGTAGTGTCTTCAAGGTTCATCCACATTGTAGCATGTGTCAGGATTTCACCCATTTTGAGGCTGAGTAATAGTCCATTGTGTATATATACCACATTTTGATTGTCCATTCATCTGTTAATGGACACTTGGATTGCTTTTGGCTATTGTGAAACAATGCTGCTATGAACATGGGTGGACAAATATCTCTTTAAGATCCTGCTTTCTATCTTTTTGGGTATATATACCCAGAAGTGGAATTTCTAGATCATATGGAAGTATATTTTTAATTATTTTTAAGAATCACAGTATTGTTTCCCACAGTGGCTGGACCATTTTACATTCCCACCAGCCGTGTACAAGTGTTCTAATGTCTCCACATCCTTGCCAGCACTTAATATTTTTGTTTTTTAAATAATGGGTAATGGGCATGAAGTGGTGTCTAATTGTGGTTCCACCTGTACCTTTTAAGATGTACATCTGGTGATAGACAAGCAGTTCTAATAGAACCCTCCTGCTGGGACTAAGTGATGCTGTGTCTGCCTTGGAAAGTTCAGCTGGTCGTCTGACTCACTCCCGGTGGAGGGCGGGGCAGTGGGTCGTGGCTGAGTATAGCAGGAGGCTTTTAATCCACGTGAAGTCTTGGGTTTGGGCATTTACCGCGAATGGCTAAGGGAAAGGATTTGGGTTAGACATCGAATCAGAGGCCAGTGAAGCCAAAAGAGACATTAGAGACCAGTTCCCCCAAAGACACCGCTTGAAAAAAAAAGAAAAAAGAATGGAAACCCAGAGTATGTAAGTCTCTTCTTGACTTGCAGGTTGTGATGATGCCTTGCTCACCGTCCCCAGTTTCTGGCATATGGAGTCAACCAGTAAATGTCTGTAGAATTGATCAATGAACCACCTAGGGCTGCCCAGCTGACATCTTAGTGTCAGAACTCGGGTATTCAGTTGACTACCCATTAGATTATGGTGACAAAAATGGCAGATTGCTTCGGTGACCCAGTAACGCTTCCCTCCCTGTCTTTCAGTCTCTAGGATGACAAGATCAGGCGTAGCTTTCCCATGGAAGGCTCTGTTCCTGGGAGGTAGGTTTGAACGGGTCTTACAACTAAATGTGCTCCATCTCATCCCAGCCCCAGCGCTTTCTCAGTCCAACACCCCTGTCCTTTATTGATGTTTTCTTCCTTCTGGAAAAGCCCAGCCTCGTGGGCGCCTCTGTTGTCTCTGTCTTTATACTTCCAAACTAGGAGGTCTGCATCTGGCCTGCATATTAGAATTACCGGCCGCTTTGGAAAGTCCTGAGGTCAGGCCTGTTGGGTCAGAAGCACTGGGGATAGGACCCAGGCGGCAGTGTTTCAGTGTCTTTAACCTCCCCTCCCCCCATTTTTATCTCTTTCAACAGTTTTTCTTGTTGTCCCCCTGAGTCTTATCCCTCCTTAACAAGGAAACTTCTTGTCTTTTACTTAGGATCTACAGGACATATAATGTAGTAAGTTCACACAGTATTAATGTTAATTTACAATTGCTTGTAGGTTATTTGTGTTCTTTCTCCAGTTAGATTATAGGCTCTTGAAGGCAGGGACATTCCTTCTTTCTCCTCTAGTCTAGTGGTTCTCAAACTTGAGTGTACATCACGATTACTCTGTGGGGGGGGTGGGGTGCTGTCAAAACACAGATTGCTGGACCTACCCTGGGAATGTCTACTTCAGTCGGTCTCGGGTGGGACCTGAACATTTGCATTTCTAACAAACAAGTTTCCTGGTGGATATTCCGGCTGGTGGTTGGGGGACTGTACTTTTGAGAACCACTGCTCTATCCTCAGGTTCAGGGATGCTCAGTCATTACTGGCCAACCAAAAGGAATGGAGCAAGTTTTCCCTTGGTTCTCTCCTTAGTAACCATGTTCAGCCCTGAGTGCAGGCTGGACCCTGGGCTGAGAGAATGAAAGGCCGTGTGATTAATGACCTGCTGATGATCATAACTTTGACTTTCCAGTTGCCAGTTCCTTTACATTTTGAAACTTGCTAAGATGGTTATTTTTCTGTATGTGTGTGTGTTGGTTGTGTATTTAGGCTATATAAAAAGATATGACCAAAATTATGCAGGATAAGGTCATAGCTCAACTCCTCTGTGCCTTTCACGGTATAAAGTGAGGGTGAGCAGTAGGGGATATAGGTCTTTGGAGGAAGAATGGTCTCCAAAATAGAGGGAAAGCTCAGCCCAGCCAATTTTTAAATATTTTTTTAAATCGATTTTTTAGAGAGAGAAGAAGGGAGAGACAGAAACATGGAAGTGAGGGAGAAACATTAATCTGCTGCCTCCTTCACGCCCCCTACTGGGGATCGAGCCTGCAACCCTGGCTTGTGCCCTGACTGGGAATCGAACCGGGACCTCTCAGTACATGGGACGACGCTCAATCCACTGAGCCACACTGGCCAGGCAGCCCAGCCAATTTTGAAAAACAAAACAAAAAGTTCTCTGAAAATATTATTTTCTATGAATTAGAAAGGGTCCAAAGTGTTCTTGTTTTTTATTGGGAAACCAAAATGACCTCAGGTGGAGGTGATGTCCACTACCTCTAGTGCTACCTCTGAGCTCAGGCCTCATGCATTTTACAGCTGTAGGTTTCCGTAGCATGAAAAACTGCCGAGACTGAAGTTGAAGGTCTATTCAGATATTTATATCCTTCATCCCTTTTCAAGTAGGTATCCTCTAACAGAGAATTGATGCCGTAGTTTGTATTCTGAATACGCTGAAGAGATGAAACTGCTTTTCCAGGTTTCATTGACCTTTAAGACACTTGATGTATTTTGATTTTGTGTTCAACCAGCTGATCTTTCCTATGGGTGTCAGGGAATTATTTTATATTTTCTTTTAGGGAAAATATTTTTGAGAGCTAGATTGCTGAGGTTTTTCTAAGGAAGTTTGGTACCAACTTTGCATATCGGACAGCGTTCACATTGGAGGTTTAATGCAGTGCTGTTTCTTTTCTGGATCTTTAGGGTCACACCTTGAATTTGAGCACAGTTCTTGCTGCCTGGCTTGTGTGGTTCAGTGGTTGATTGTCGACCCATGCACCAAGAATTCACCGGTTCAATCCCCGGTCAGGACACGCGCTCAGGTTGTGGGCCCGATCCCCAGTGCGGGACATGCAGGGGGTGGCCAGTCGATGTTCTCTCTCATCGATCCCCAGTGCGGGACATGCAGGGGGTGGCCAGTCGATGTTCTCTCTCATCGATGTCTCCCTCTCTTTCTCTCTCTCTAAAATCAATAAAGGAAAAAAAAAAAAGCTCTTGCTTAGTTTGTATTAATTTAAAATAAGAAAAATTGGAGTCATAAAACAGGTGATGATTATTTTGAAGAAGCAGTTGATTTCTTAGGAACCAAATGAGGGAAGCCTCTTTGATTTTTTATTTATTTTTTTTGCATCTCTAAAAGAACGTGTTCTTTATCTTAGGATAGTAATGGGGGCGGTGGGAAGAGACCCAGCAAACTGACCTCATAGTCAGCTACAGCCTTTACACGAACAAGTCTCCTATTGTGGGTGGGAACGCAACCTTGGCTCATCTTAAAGAACCAAAAAAGAAACTACAGGTATGCCTCAGAGATGTTTCAGGTTCGGTTCCAGACCACCATAATAAAGCCAGTATGGCAATAAAGTGAGTCATAGTCTTTTTTGCTGGTGGAGGGTCTTGCTTCATTTTGTTAAAAAAAAAAAAAAAAAAAAAGCAACACCTATGGAGCGCAATATAGCGAGGTGCAATAAAACGAGGCCTGCCTAGATGGGGTTGCTCGCTTCTTACACCAGTGAGGAGGGCACCGTTCTCTTCAGTCTCTCACTCATCCACCAGATAAACAATCGACTGCGGAAGAAGTCCAGGTCCAAGTTCGAGATGCACCTTGACGTGGATGTCTGAAATGTGTCAAAGACATTTTCACACAGGCCAAAGAGTAAAGGTTTTGATGCGCTCTTTTTCTCCCTGACAGGTGAATTTTGTGGCATGCCAACTCGTTGCTTTGTTTGCTGCTTTCTGGTTTCGCACCTACTTAAGTCCCGGTAAAACCAGTCCCTTGGCCCGGCACACGTTTGCCACCATTTTTGGCATCTACTTTGTCATCTTTTGTTTTGGCTGGTGAGTATGAGCCTCATGAATCTAAACATTTAGCATTTGGGTGTTTTGTGGCAACATTCTTGGCCTTTCTCAGGCTCTCAGGAAAGAAATGTGTATATATCTACTCAAAATAATGGGGATGTTGCAAAAATTTGCATTTACTGTAAGAACCTGGAATCAATAAATTTAACTACCCATTGAAAGTCAATTTGGGGAATTTTTCTGAAAGTCACACTTGTACGGATCTCCCCTGGGTCGTGTAAATGGATTTTTATGAGGTTTAATTTTCCTGACGAGGAACTGTTCCTAAATGTTGTAGACTTTGGTCTTTTTCTTGCATTACTTTTGGAGATAATGTTCGCCCTGCACTTAGAGTAAAACAATCGTTTTAGTGCTGGTCTTAGAGAATGGGAGTCATTCTTTTTTTTTTTTTTTTATTAATCCTCACTCAAGGGTATTTTTCCCATTAATTTTTAGAGAGAGTGGAAGGGTGGGAGTAAGGGAGAGAGAAACATCGATATAAGTGAGAAACATCAATCGACCGTCTCCTGCACGCCCCCTACTGGGGATGAAGCCTGCAACCCAGGCATGTGCCCTGATCAGGAATTGAACCTGTGGCCTCTTGGTGCCTGGGAAGATGCCCAACCAACTGAGCCACACCGGCCAGGGCTGGGAGTCATTCTTGAACAAAGAAAGCATGTAGATTAGACTTTTCTCTACTAAATGAGCTGGATAAATACCTTGGGAGTGGCACTTGTTGGGGAAGAAGCTTTGGGATCCAACATTTCTAGAAGTACAACTTAAGGAAATGTGTGAATTTGTTCAGGGCACTAGAATGCTGCTCTTCCTCTTTCAACAAAACTTTGAGAAAGATTGGTGAGTATTTTGAAACAGCCAACAAGACAGGGAAACGTCAGCTCAGTTTTGGTCCTGGTACTAAAAAAAAACAAAAACAAAACAGTCCCAAAGAAAGAAAGAACTCTCTTCCAGACTCTGACTTGTATATGTGTAAAAAATATAAGCATCCCATTTGTGATTCCTGACATCACTGGTGCTACAGCTGGCAGTTGTGTCCTGCCTTTCTGCTGTCATTTTAAGATAAAGCTCTTAATCCCATAGAACAAAAATACTTGATTTATTTTCTCTTACATAAACATGAGTTACCTGATCACTTGCTTTTTGGTGGGGTGGAGGTGGAGTGGCAGTATGGGTAGCAGCAGATATGTTAATATGAAATATATTGAGTGTTTTTCCTTCCCCTCGATGTCTTAAAGGTACTCTGCACATCTGTTTGTGCTGGTGTTAATGTGCTATGGGATCATGGTCACTGCAAGTGTATCCAATATTCACAGGTAAGACCCTAGGAGTGAACAGTGCAAGGTAGGTTATGTGTGATCTTTGCAATGTATTTCCAGGGCAAGGGGTACCTTCCCCATATGTCACATGTGGAATACGCTTGGTTCTCTGGGATAGCAGGAGGAGGGGTAAGAGCCCTAAATGTTGGGAGTCTTCAGACAAAGCTTTACAGAAAAGGTGGGGTGCAGTTTGTGTCTCGGGTGAAACACAGCACATCAGAATTAGGCAGCTTTGTGTTTGATAGCCCCAAACTGGAAATAACCCAAATATTCCCCACTGTGGAATATTACTCAGCAATAAAAAGAAATGAATGATTGATCCACACAATGACATGGATGACTCTCAAATAAATATACTGAGTGAAGGAAGACACACAAAATTTATTCTCCAAGGCAAACTAATTCTGTAGTGACAGAAATCAGATCAGAGGTTCCCAGGGGTGGGTTGGGGTGGTTCAGGGGAATGTGACAGGGATCCAGATAGGTAGGAAGAAATTTAGGGGTGATGGATATGTATGTCCATTTTCTTGAAATTGGCCATGGTTTCCTGGGTGTGTGTGTATGTCAGAATTTTGTATACTTTTTGTACACTGAAACTGTTAAAAAGAAATTTAAAAAAAAATATTTTTATTGATTTTTAGAGAGAGAGGAAGGGAGAGAGAGAAACATCAGTGTGAGAGAGAAACATCGATTGGCCTCCTGCACGCCTCCTGCTGGGGATCAAGACTGCAAACTGGGCATGTGCCCAGACCGGGAATCAAACCAGCCCCTCTCTGTCCGTGAGACAGTGCTCAGTCCACTGAGCCACACTGGCTGGGCAAGGAAGACATATTTTTATTATGATATTTTGATTTCAAAGTACAGAAGTAATTTCATTCTACTTTGAAGGCTACATGCTTAGATCATCAGTTAAGATAGCTGGGGTATCTGTTCTGCGTAGTCTGTTTCCCATGGTTTTCTGAAACCTCAGTATTTGCTCTGCCAGTCAATAACACTGGAATGTATCTCTGTGAAAACAAAGCCCTTTCTTACTCACTGTTGTATCCTCAGAGCCTAGAACAATACCTGGCACAAGTAAAGCCTCAGTAAATATTTATGGAATGAAAGACGGAATAAAACTTTTTTTCTGATGGTCTCTAAAAAAGCAGATGCCTTATTTCAGCTTTGGAAAGCTCTTTGATGAATAAGACTATTGGCACAATAGTTTTGTTACTTAAAGTCACTGAAATTTAACTTTTTCATGTATAATCTTGTAATTTAAATAAGTTTCTGCGTTTTCAAGGGGAAATATTTTTCATGCTTTTAAATTTGATAGTCATTCAACTTAGTATCCAAATGAGCTGTGAAAATTTGAATCCTAATCATCTCTCTTCTAAGTGCCCTCCTTGAAGGGGAGCATATCGTTCATTCAGAAGGGAAATAGGAAAGCCATTATTTCTAATTTGGAAAGAATGTGTTTTGGAAATGCTTTGTAGTATGACAAAATACTTCAAAAAAAAAAAGCCTGGCTAGTGTGGTTCAGTGAATTGAGCATCATCCTATGGACTGAGAGATCCCGGTTCAATTTCTGGTCAGGGCACACGCTCAGGTCACAGGCTCGATCCCTGGTAGGGGGCGTGCAGGAAGCAGCCGATCAATGTTTCTCTCTCACATCAATGTTTCTATCTTTCCCTTCCTCTCTCTCTAAAAAAATCAATAAAAACATATTAAAAAAAAGTAGTGGTGAAAATGGCTGATTTTTTCAGTCGTGATTTTGGAAACAGTGAAATGATTAATAAAATTGTTGTTGCATCTCTAGGACATTTTCTTACAGATCACAATTTGTCAGCTCTGCCCACATTTGTAGAATGCCGATGGGGTGTGGTCCCTTTTTCAGAGGGTGAATGACTTATATGCACACTTACTCTGTGCCAGACCCCTGATCTCTGTGTTGGTCTCTGGCCAGGTGGAACACTCCAGCCTTGGCAGAGCCGGACGGTTTACAGGCAGGCAGAGGGCTGTGTCATAAGACCAGAAAGAAAAGACGCCAGAACAGATTTTCCCCTCTTTCCTCGCCTGTGCGGTGCCAGTTCTGCAGAAGCAGGGAGTGGCTCAGTTCCCTGTGGATGGAAGTGGTTTCCTATCGGTGCAGGAAAGAACAGTAGACCCGAGTCAGGAAGCCTGGCTCTTCCTAGCTGTGTGAGTTCAGACACGTGACACAGCTTCTCTGTGCATCAGGTTTCCCGCCATCAAGTGGCCTGTGGCAGTTTGAACTTGAGTTCTCTTTAGGACCAGGATTTCATGATTCTCTGTGAATTGTTCTCTTCTCGTCGCTGAGCCAGTTATCGGGGTTTTGTCACATGGCTGGAAGAGGAGGGGAAGGTTAGTGCTGGCTGCCATGTGGAATGAACCCATTTCTGGACTGACCATTGTTATTCAGGGTTTGTAGAGAGTCCTTGGGGTACCACCTGTTTCCTTCGCCAGCCGCTCTGTGGGGCAGAAGCCACTGGCATTAATTTTCCATAAATGAACCAAATGGAACAGAAGATAGTTTGACTCTCCCAGGCCTTGGTGAGAACTCGATGACACAGTCGCCAGTTTTGGAGTCTTGCTTTGTGCTGCGTGGCAGGCGAACTCTCTTAAATATGTTAGGCTCTATTATTTTTAGTATATAAACTCTTATTTAGTGTATCATTTAATATGTTATTATATTTAATATTTATCCTTATGCAAAATAGACTCTTTCTAGGACAACTCCATGGGATATAGGTGTTTTTTTTCCCCCTGAGACGAGGAAATGAAAGCTCAGAGCAGTGGATAGGTCACAGTTTGATGAATTTTCACGATGAATACACTCATGCACCCACCACCCAGGTCAGAAAGGGGAATATCAGCTTCTCTCGTGTCCCAGTCTCGACCACACCACAGCCCTCCTTCCTGAAATAGCCTCCGTCCCGTCTCACCCCAGGGATCAGTGTCCGCAGTGCCTCTGAGCCCACGTTGGTCCGTCTGCAGAATGCACGCCCTCTCCACCACTTTCGGATTCCTTAGATGTTTCAGGTGTGTCCGGGCAGCAATGCAAGGCCCCGGTGCGCTGGGACGCAGTACTTGGCACCTTCCCTGAGGGGTGGGTCTTAGTGTGAGTTGAATTGAACTTGCTTTTCTCTGTGGGTGAGAGGGCAGGGGAAGGTATGGTTCTAGCTCTTCTTGAGAAGAGGAAGCAGCAGGCGGGCTGCATTTGGAAGGGCCCTGGGGGAACCTGTCTTTCGAATCTGCTCTGTGCTTCTTCCTTGACCTTCATGAACTGGCGGGGAAAGGGTTGGAGGCAAAATGGCCGAACTCTGTTCAACGGCTTCAGCTCTTAATGGGGTTGTATATTTCTTAGTCATTTGCTTTGTTCACCATCTTCTGGTTCGGAAAGGGTTAAGGATGAACCCAGGGTAGGGGACGATCTTTGTTGTGTAGTAAGGTCTTTGACTGCAAATAATGGTAAAGAGAACTGAAGTTACATGGTATGTTAGAGTGCATGGGACTCCTCACACGCACTGTCTGGCTTGGCCCTGCTACCAAGGCATTGATGTTACTACCCTTACCATTTCCTATTCCTTAGGTTGAGCCAGTCTTCATGTTACTTTAATGCAAATTTTTGTAGTTCAAGGTAACAATATCGGAATATACATCTTCTCTTTGTTATGACACGTTAGAAAGTTATACCTTCTGAATGCATGTTTCTGATGGGCCCCTGAACCATTTAGATGTTCCATGTATTCATTTCAGTTCATTTCAGCTAATGGCAAGTTAACCCCTCCCATGTGTCAGGTCAAGAGTTGGGATGTTCAAGGTCACAGTGAGTTGGGGAAACGGAACGACAGTTTTAATATTCTAATTATACATGTTAGTATGTAGCACTAGAGAAATATAGGCATGGAGCAATTAATTGTGCTGGGAGTGAGGGCAGCGCGGTGGATGGAGCAAGTCCAAGCCACGCAACGGTGGAGCTGAGCCTTATCTGATAATTATGCATCCGAGATAGACTCTCCGATGGAGAAAGGAGGTGTAGGCAGAGGAAGGAGCTTGCAGAAAGATACCTGGCCTGAGAATGCAGGACGTAACTGTGGAAGTGAGCCGTTGGTCCAGTGTAGATGGAGCGTGTGGTGGGTGTGGAGCGTGGCCGGAGGAGAGTCCAGGAAGGCGGAGTAGAGCCCGGTGTGGGAAGCACCTTGCATTCGTGTTCAGGAGTTTTGATGTGATGGATAGTGAGATCCTTTGGAGACCTTTAAGACAAGCAACATTGATTTGGTTGGTTGTTCATTCAATGCACAGTAAGCGGCTGTAGTGAACGAAACGCACATGGTCATCCTTGCCTTCATCGAGCTTTCAGTGTAGTAAGGGAGAAGCTGTTAATCAGATTATCACGTGTCTTTATAATTGTGGGTCGGCGAATGTTCTGAGTGGCAGGTGTGTGTGGATTTCTGGTTTGTACTATCGGCTGGTGATACGGAGTGGTACGGAGCAGATGGTAATTGAAGTCTCAGGCATGGGCAGGGAGGGTCCTGGCAGAGCACTAGGAATGTTAGCACTTAAGAAGTACATGGAAGAAACTATGCTGAGTAGGAGCCTTGGAAGAATTAACCAAAGAGGTGGGACGAAAACAGGGAGAATCGAAGTGAACAAAGTATTTCAGGGAGAGAGTGGTTGACACATGGTGACACTTTTTGTTTACAAAGATCATTGTGTAAGTGTGATGGTTTGTGAAGAGGAGAATCTGAGGGCAAGACCCCTTACAGGTGAGCAGTTCCCAGGTCTGGCTGCATATTGGAATTACACCTGCTACATGCACACACTTCTACTTAAACCCGACTATCTGGGGTGGGGCCCAGACAGCTGTGGTTTGTAATGATTCCTCAGGTGATCCGATTATGCTGCCAAAGTTGAGAACTTCAGTGGTCCAGGTGAGAAAAGATGAAGGTCTCAGAGCAGTGAGGGGAAAGGTGGCCTGGGATGTAGACCAGACAGAACTTTGTGACCTTGCGAATGGCGGGGAGGGCGAGGGCGAGGCAGAAGAGAACATTGATTGAGTGTGTTACTGCAGTGCGTCATCATGGATCCTGTGTGTTTTTGGTTTCAGATACTCTTTTTTTGTAGCAATGGGATACTTGACGATATGCCACATCAGCAGAATATACATCTTCCACTATGGAATCCTCACGACGGATTTTTCTGGGTGAGTATCTTACTTTGTGGGGGCAGTCTCTTGGGGTGTGTTAGGACCAAGTGTGCACATCAGAGGCATGGGTGAAGTCAGTTGGTAAGACGGTGCTAAAGAGGTTGAGAGTGAAGCCTTGGTTGCTCTGGAGGACTGCGAGCTCGCTGTGTTGTGATGCAGAGGTCGTGGACCGTGGCCCATGGGCAGTATCTGTCCTGCCACCTGGCTTTGTAGTTACGTTGGAACAGGACCAGGCCCTTCCTCATTGATGTGTTGTCTCTGGCTGCTTTTGCACAACGGTGATAGAGTTGAGTGGTTGTGACAGAAACCATGTGACCCGCAAAGCCTCAGATATTTGCTATCTTGCTTCTTACAGTACAACTTTGCTGACCCCTATTCTAAGACCCTTAACATTAAGCAAGGTTGGTGTTTCTCTCTCCTAGTTTTTAATACAGAAAGTCTTCCATACTAGCTGATAAGCAGTTGCTACCCTAACCTCTTGGGTGTCCTCTGGCTGCGCCGGCCTCTCCCCATCAGATCCAGCAGACTTGCAGCCACTAGAAAGGTAATGAATGCCAGGCACAGCGGGTTCTCCATACTAGTTGTCAAAATGTTGTCTGTCATCAGGCTTTTACCTGATGGGCCACCCTTCTCCTGATTGGTCACCTGGGAAGACTATGGATGGATCCGTGACAATGCTATGCCCTGCTGATGTTCATTCAGTAACAACTTTTCATGGATCTTGAGGAATGGATGGGAAAGCAGAGTGATTCCTCAGGGTATATTGTGTGTTATCCATATTACTTCCTTAGGAGTTCCGTTCTGTTCCCCTTAGGCAGTCTGACGTCCGGGAGGACCCAAGTTCTCCCCTCAGGCTGCCCTGCATTTCATTTGATGAGTTGTTGGAGAATAGGTGGGGAAATGAGATCACAACTCACAGCTCACTTCTGTGACCTTTGCAAACTGTGCATTTTACCCATCCCATAGTGAAGAGGCTCAGGAAGGCAAAAGTATTGCTTTGGGACAGACTGTTGTGTTGACATTTCTAGGACCGTGGTTTGGTTTTTATTGATTTTTACAGAGAGAAAGGGAGAGGAAGCGAGAGAAACATCAATGAGAGAGAACACTGATTGGCTGTCTGCTTCCTGCATGCCCCCAGTGCGGATCGGGCCCACAACCTGGGCATGTGTCCTGACTGGGAATCGAACTGGTGACCTCTTGGTGCATGGGTCGATGCTCAACCACTGAGCCACACTGGCTGGGCCCATGGTTTGGTCTCAGATTGGCTTTTTGTGCACCTCAGACTCTGGATTTACCTGTCTCTCTTCCAGCTGTCTCCTTGCTGTGTTCCTTCCCCCCCAGACTGTGGAGCAGTTTTTCTAAACAAGTTCACAAAACTTCTTTTTATTTTTTTAATGATGTGTATTGCTAGCAGAATATGGAAAAAAGAAAGAAAGCAGTAGAGCTGGGAAGTTATAGCATTAAAAGTAATTTTTAAACGGCGATCATAACTCTCCCTAGTGTTTAATGAACACACTTCATTTTTTTGGTTTCACCCCAGAACCAGACCCCCACCCCTCCAGTACTTGGAGGAGTTCCAGCTCTTAACAGGGGTTTAGGAAACAAATGAGTTAAATACTCTTCTGTTTGTCAGTTCTTTCTTCAGTGCTTCTAGAAGCCTCGATTAAATAGCCCCTCTAGCCATTTGGTTGGGATTTTGAATACAAAACTTTTGACTTTAGCCCAAAGTAGATTATTACCTGTTTCTCATCTACGTCATCTTTTCTTTTTAAGGCACAAAGCGTATATTCATTCATTCCTTTCTGCCACTGTTTTGAGTTCCCAGTGTGGTAGTCACAGCGCCAGGGCCTGGAGACATCCAGGCAGGAGGAAGGTGTGTTCCAGGCAGAGGAAACTGCTCCACAGGAGCTGAAATGTGAGACGGGTGCCTGGGGAGGTCCCAGGAAGCCACCTCCCTGACCTTCACCACCCACATGTCACCGGATCCTACCAGGTCTGCAACCTGGCTGTCACTAGGCCCGTCTACTGCTCTGCACGCACGCAGCCACCACGCTGGGCCACCACCTGTCTGCAATTCCCTAACTGGCCACCTTTCCTTCCGCCCTTCCCCTCTCCAGCCTGTGTTCTCTGTACCAACCAGTGAGGTTCTGGAGTGCCAAGCAGATGAGGAGCTGGACCTGCTCACTCTCGCCCTCTCCTGCTCCCGGTGTGCACTGCAGATGGCAGCAATGCCAAAAAGAGTGTGGTGCACGCGTACCCTCGGCTAGTTGGTGTCTCTGCCTCGCACATTGCACCGCTGAGAGGGATGTTTACCATCCTGGTCTATGTGGAAACCTTTTGCTTCTTTCCCCAAAACCCAGTTCAAGATCACTGTTTTACAGAGCTTTCCCTGATTGCTCCCGTCCCCTTCTTGCACTAGTCACTTACTGCATTTTGGACCTTGCACCTGACTTTCAATGGCTGGTGCTGCCATTGCCTACCCTTCGAGACCTCGGCGTCTGGAGTGTTTGTAGCTGGCAGTCCTCATTTGATTTGCATGCTTATCTAGTGTCATCTGTGTTTATTCCAAACTTGTTTATTCCAGTTTGTACTTATGTATAAGCTGATTATATATGAAAGGAGAGAACATGGTTTCTCTAGATCTAAGTTGAGTCCTTTGGAAAGCCACCAAAGCAATCGAATATATTAACGTAATAGCTATTGAATTAAATATGGATGAACATTCCACAAGGATGTGGGAAAGGATTATAAAAATTAAGGACCCTGCACTCGGATTGCTTTGCAAGCATCTTGGCTTTCTTTTACCTTCTCAGTCCATGTTAAAGGAAATGAGTCTGGAGAGAGCAGATGGGGATTTATGTAAGAGGGAGGTGCCATCTTGGAGCCGACCCACACTCCGGGGGAAGGCTTTGGTCCTGCTTCAAAAGGTTCATTTGTTCGTCATTCAGCAGACACTGATGGAGAACCCTATGTATGCCAGGCACAGCGATAGGAGACTGGAGTGAGCAAGACTTGGGATGAATGTACAGTCATCTATTTCACGTTTGACTAGGAAGTTCAAATGCGAGCATATTGTTGTGTCCTGGGTTGATTAATATTCCCCCAAATTCGTGTCTACCCAGAACCTCAGAATATATCCTTGTTTGGAAACAGGATCTTTGCCGATATAACTAGTTAAGATGAGGACCCACTGGATTAAGGGGGGCCCTACATTCTTTCTGACTGGAGTCCCGTAAGAAGCCCATGAGAGATGCAGACACACCGAGGGCAGGAGGTCACGTGAAGATGGAGGCAGGGACAAGAGGATGCAGCTGTAAGCCAGGAACTCCAGGGATTGCTCTCAGCCCAGAAACTAGGAAGAAGCATGGCACAGAGTCTCTCTCAGCCTCCGGAAGGACCATTTCTGCCAACACCTAGATATCGGACTTTCCGCTTCCAAACGCCAGACAGTGCTTCTGGTTTTAAGCCACCCAATTTGCGCTGATGTGTTACGGCTTCTCTAGGAGTCCTTGCAGTGAGCTAACAGCTGTCCCTTCCCCCATCCTGCAGGTGCTGGAGCCACCACCGTCCACATCTCTCCTCTCTCCCTGCTCCTTCACGCTGCCCCCTCCGCTGGCTTTATGAGTAAAACCATAGACTCTTGAATGATTGTTACATCATTTTCGCATGGTCAGAATTGGGGAAATATTTGCGGAAAACAGTAATGTGTTTGTGACATTTGGATTTGGGGTTTGACGGCAGGGGAGGGTGGAAACCAGGTCCTATCCCTGCCCTCAGCAGCATATCTGTGATGCATGTCCTCAAGTGATGCATGTCCTCAAGTGATGCTTGCTCTCTGGCGTTTTGGGATCTCTTTGCATTAAGAAATCTCTGACATGATGAACAAACTGTAGAATGTTTGAACTAGAAAGGACTGTTAGGGAAAGGTTACAGAAAAATTTTTCTACCTGTAAATTATGAAAATTGCATGCAATTTAGCTGTCTAACTGCTGAGTGGCCATACTATCCAGTTTTTGAAGGTATGTCTTTTTTTTTTCCTTCCTTTTTAAAAATTCTAGGGCATTATAAAGCAGCATTTTCCCCTCTACCACCATAAATGCACAGTGTCTCACTGACATAAATCCATCTTTTTGGATAATGTCAGTTAACATAAAGGGAGAGGTATATACCAACCTGAAATGGGAAGATGTTTTAAAACACAAATTGTTCATTAGAGATTCTTTACCCACTTGATCTCATTATGAGCCAGCAACCACAAGTGTTCCTTAAGAATGGAATTTAATACTATCATTTCAGTTTAAAAATCCTATTTAGGATTCTCTTGAGGAATCAAGAAGTGTTCTGAAGTTGAACCTGGATATTTAAAACAGTCTGATGTGGCCCTGGCCAGTTTTGCTCAGTGGTTAGAGCATCTGTCCATGGACCAAAGAGTCATGGGTTTGATTCTGGTCAAGGGCACATATTTCAGTTGTGATTCGATCCCTGGCCCTGGTTGGGGTTGTATGGGAGGCAACCAATTGAAGTGTCTCTCTCACATCGATGTTTCTCTCTCTCTCTCTCTCTCTGTCTCCCTCTCTCCCTTCTTCGCTTCCTCCCTCTGACTCTTATCTGAAAATCAATGGAAAAATATCCTCAGGTGAGGATTAAAAAAATAAAATCCCGGCAGTGTGGCTCAGTGGTTGAGCATTGACCCTTGCACCAAGAGGTTGCCAGTTCAATTCCCAGTCAGGGCATATACCCAGGTTATGGGCCAAATCCCCAGTGGGGGGAATGCAGGAGGCGGCCAGTTGATACTCTCTCTCATCGATGTTTCTCTCTCTCCTTTTCCCTCTCTCCTTTTCCCTTCCTCTCTCTCCAGCCAATCAATGTTTCTGTCTCATATTGATGTTTCTATCTCTCTCTCTAAAAACAATAATAAAAACATATTTAAAATAAATGAATAAATAGGGAGAAAGGAAAAATGGCAGTGGAGTGGATAGAAGCTACACAGACCATGT